CACCTGGAACTCATGGAGCGGTCCCTACCTAGATTGGCCCGGAAGCGCCAACGGTCCACCGAATTGGCCCATGGCCGACAGGTCCGAAGCTACGAGGCCCGGAACGGGAATGCGGGTCCCAGGACCCAGTATAAGTTAGGGGACATCGTGCAGGTAAGGAAATGTGCGCGCCAGGGTAAACTAGCGCCACGATTCTTCGGACAGTATCGAGTGATTGAGCTCGGACCCAACGGGGTGGACACCGTGCGCCTCGCTCCCGAGATTTCCAGCAGTATCGGCTCCGTCTTCTTCCCTCTGTTCCGTCTCCTTCTCCATCAACCTCTCCCGACGACGACTCTATCTCCTCTGCATCTCCTTCTCCTTCTCAATCTCTGTCGGATACGCCGTCACCCTCGCCATCGCCATGAGCTTTATGGAGGAGAGAGCTCTAAGTGAAGAAGCACTGGTAGCACGGGGGAATTTGACACTGCGGCAGGTGCATCATCCTCGTCTTAGTCCGGACCTTCAGCGGGTTGCGTAATTCTTCTGCTCGAAGGGCGTCTACGCGGCAGCAGAGATCCACGTCAACGGGAGGGCTGACGTGATCATATTGGCCGAAGCTGTCGGGTTGCGACAACGAACATCTGTGGACGTCGGCCGGATAACGGTGGTGGTTAATTTCAGTGGGGATCTCACGGCGATCCCCCCCATCTGACACACGAGAATCAAGGCAACGTTGCTTCTGTGGGGCGCACAATCTTCAGAACGAGTGGACCCAGATCCTGGCGCACCAAGGGGACGTGATCGCACCTATCCGAGCGATCGAATACAACAGCCTTCGGCTGGATCGGCGTGACTCGCCGACGCAATTACCCCCTCTCATCCCCTTCCATCCCCGATGAGTTCCTTCCCGATCTCTACTTTCGAGCTTCCTTCTTCCTTCCCCACCTTTTGGCAGTCTGACCTTCATCCCCGCCTCTCCTTCTCCAAAGATCCTCTGGTTGTTCCCCTCCTCGATCCCTCTCAGTGGGACGCGTGGCGCGGAGACTTCATTGAACTCTCACTGTGTTTGGCGGAAGTACGGGTGACGTGGACGAGGGACGAGAGCAATTATCCGCGGACTGAGCGATTGGAGCTCCTTTTGATTCAGGCGTGGCGGACGGAAGTAGAGGGGACCTTCTCGGTTTCCTATTCGGGGCAATACGTCCGGGCTGTCGGAGGCGTCTCACCCAGGAGCTTACGGTCCCGATTGCGCAGCTGGCTGACCATCTAGATGTCAGCATTGTCTCCCAAGTCGACCCGCGCTTGGTGCCCCACGTCACTTCGCGCACGCTGTCGCCGTATCTTCAGTGGTCAGCTTGCGTGGAGGGCTTCCCATCGAGAATTCCGCCTTCACGGTTGGATTACTTGGATCCGCGCAACATCGTGGATCCCGCTTTCTACAGGCCGCCGTGCGAAGACGAATTGGAGGAGATAATCCGCGAGGAGCTCGCGGAAGAAAGTTCGGAGGAAGAGGAGGAGAATCCGAACGAAGACGAAGGGGAGCCGGCACAACACCAAGGAGGAGCCGAAGACGAGCTTCTGCAAACGGAGAGCGAAGAGGAAGCAGAAGAAGAAGACAACGAGCAGGGGAGCGGTGATGACAACGACGAGGAGAAGGCCAACAAGGATCCCCAGCTAAAAATTGTGCCGGTTGCTGATCTTCCGATCAGCAACGATCCAACGCTCGACCCGGAGCCACCTCAGCCAGACGACGGCCATGTGGCCCAGGTGGCTGGGCCATCCGCTCGCCGGCCTCCTTCCCCACCGCGACTGCTAATAGGTTTTGGTCTCAAATCTTTGGAATTGCTTTTTCCAATAAACGTTGGCTTCATTTTTTTATGTTATTTGTTCCTGTAACTGGTTTATGGATGACGAAGCCGCTCCCCCTCCGCCTCCCTCTCCCTCGCGGCCCGTCCCCCACTTCGAGCACGTCGAGATGAGGCCGATCGGCCTTCGTCCTCGGGCTCTCTCTCTCCGCCCCCATGACTTCCTCACCCTGCGCCAGCTCACCCTTCCTGCCGTCTTCCCCCACAATCCCTTCCCCCGCAACACTTTTCGCCATCACTTCTCCATCCGTCTCTCTGTCACAGTCCATCCCCACTCATCCTCCCGGCGTGCTTCCCCCGAGTTCCCTCTGCATGTACATCTCTTCAGCATTGGATGGCGTCGTGTTAATGCCGTAGAGGTTTATTGCCCATCACGGGGTTAATCCCCGCCTGCGCCGACCGCGATCGCTTTCGCGCGGCGCTTCTTAGAACCTTTACCACTCTCTATCCCAACTACCTCGCTTCTCTCCCCACTACTGGCCGCCGATTCCCCTGCTTCCATAGAATCGTCCATCGTCGGAACCTTTCGGAAACGGACGATGAGTTGGAACGCTTCTTCCCGCCTATCCCGACTCATCCCCCATCAACACCTCCGCCTGCCTATCGTCTTCCCTTTCCTCTTCCCCACGAGTGACGACAACCAGGATATGACTGCCGCGCAGCATGACGTCCACACTCATTTGCATGGTATGCGGCATAAAAGAAGATCAACCCTCCACGGCCAATCAATCAAAGAGGAGCGACACGTCAGCTAGCAAGCAGGAGCTTGCTTATCTTTGGAACCCCCTAGGCGTCACATATGTGACGAACTAGCTTTTGTAATGCGCGACTTTCGGCGCGAAGTGCTAAGCGGGGTCCCACATCGATTGGATGGGTTGATGGAAAATTGCATGTGTGT